GTTTCTTTGCCATTGCCTCCTGCCAGGACATGATGGTGCAGCTGCACCACTCGAATGTGACGGCCCTCCAGTCGGACGGCACACATCCCTCCCTGGATGAGCGTCGTACGTCGTGTGCACCGCATCTCCCTTTCGCCGCTCTCCCGCCCCCTGTGCCGAATCGTCTCCCCCCTGCTCACTTGAACGACCTCTCCTCCCTCCGCGCGGGCCCGGGCGCGCCGCCCACCGCAGTGGTCCTGCCGATTGTGTCCGGCTTTGCGGCCATGGCTCTGGTTCTGCTGGTCCTCCACCTGGTGTTCAACATCACCGTCGCCATGTTCCATGGGATTTCCTCGCTCCTGACGCCGGTACGCCACAGCCAGTCGCCACCGGGCCATGGTCCGCCGGTTTTGTTTGTTGCTTCCCCCGTGGCCGATTGCCTGACCGTCGATGTTCCGCCGGCCGCCGTGCGGCCTCGGTCTCGCAGCTGAACATGCTCTTCACCGTGGGGCTGTTGCTGGAATTCAGCGGGGCCGTGCTGTCTGGCGTGCATGCCGGCGGGGTGCGGCTGACCGGCATCGCCGAGCCCTCGACCGAGGGCGCGGCCCGGTCGATCGAGCTCATCTCCCAGGTGGTCCTCTTTGCGTTGCTGCTGCTGATTGCGCACGGCTGGCCGGAGCCGACGCCCCCGCCGCCGGAGCTCATGCGGCCTGGGCTCCTGTCCTCGGGCGCCGGGGATGGCGCCGACATGCACGGGTCCGGCGGGCCCGGCGGCTTCAAGCGCTCGGCCTCGGACCACAGCATCATGGACTACCTGCACGGGGGGTCGTACTACGGGGCGACCGATGCGGAGCTGGCCGGGCTCGGCCATGGCGGCTCGGCCAAGCCGAAAAAGCGCTGGTTCAACTGCACGCCACTCATGTCGGTGGGCATTTCGGTGGGCCTCTACTCGTCCCTGTGCATGGGGCTCTTCCTGATGCAGTTCCTGTCGGCGGCCGGCGGTGGGGGCGGCGGCACCGTCGAGGACACCGGCATCAGTGTGTTCCAGGTGCGTGCTGGGCTTCGTGTGGGGGCTTTCCACCGCGCGGTCTCGCCTGTGCGGGTGCCGGGTGCCGGGCGCCGGGTGCCCGTGTTCTGACCCGTCACATGCATGCATATGCTCCCCCCCTCCCCCCTCCCCTGGGACCGGGACAGACGCTGGCCGGCTCGCTGCTCCTGACGGCTCGGTGCATTTTGTACTTGCAGTTCCTGGCGGCCGCGCTGCGCGCCCTGCGGCAGTCCTACCGCCGGTCCCCCCGGGCGCTCTTCTTCCGCAACATCACCATCTTCTTCTCGGTTTGGTTCCTCTCGATGCCGGTGGCCGCGGTCATCCTTGCTTGCGTTCCGCTGCTCTACCGCGAGACGGTGCGTCCCCCCTTCCCCTGGCTTCCGTGCCTCTCCTTCCGTCGGTCGGCCCTGCCCGGCCAGGGCGCCCCCCCCCCCCCACCACCCTTGCCTCCTGGCGTCTCGGCCTCTGACCCCCCCGCCCCCCCCCGCCCATCCGCATCACAGATCTTCACCTTCCACATGTTCTGCCTGGATGTGGTGGCCTTCTACGTGCTGTTCATCCTGTTTGCGCCGATCTCCTCGCTGCTGACCGATCGCCTGGGCAATGTCGAGCGTGCGCTCCTCCGGCACATCGAGCACCACTCGAGCACCACCACCCAGGGCGGCCTGTCGGCCGGGGCGGCGTCGCTCAACCATGCCGGCCCCGGGCCCGGCGGTGTGGCCACTGACGGGACCGCCTCCATGCGGACATCCACCAGCTCGGCCATCAGCATCTACAGCGACCACTTCCCGCTGCCCGGTGGCGGGCCGGCCGGCGCCGGGCATGGTCCCGGCGGGGCGGACGCCTCCTCGGCCGGGGATTTGGACGACTTCCGGTTCAGCCCGCTGCATGGGCTGCCGACGGATCCGCTCTTCCCGATGGATGACGACCTGGGCCCGGGGGCCAGGGCGTCGGTGCACCGGTCCAGCCACCGGCCCAACTCGGCCTCCACCTTCCTGGCCAACAACAGCTCGCTCAGCACGGTGGAGGCCCTGGCCCTGGCCCTGCTGACTTTGTCCTCCAAGAGCCTGTCATCGGCCATCTCGGCCATCGGCACCGAGTACCGAGCCCAGATGGCCATCCTGCCGCTGGCCGGGGAGACGCCCTGGTCGCGGCGGCGCGCGGCGCCGCTCTTCCTCCGCGGGACCGTGGCCCTGGCCAGCTTGGGCCTGGACGAGGCGCGCATGGCCCTCAAGGCGCACAAAAGCCGGCACGGCCCGAAGTCGTCCAGCGGGGCCGGGGCCGGGGCCGGGGCCGGGGCCCTCGCCGACGGCAGCGGCCCCGGCCCCGGCAAGGGGGGTCGCTCTCACGGCGGTGGCGGCGGCCGCACCGCCGGCCAGCAGGGGCCCGGCCTGGCGGACAGCATGCATCCGCACGATCGCCAGGCCTTCGAGGCCCTCGGGGCAATGGATGCCCTTGGCGGGCCCATCCTGTCCGCCGAGGGGACTTCCCTCCTGCCGGCGGGGCCGACCGGCGGCCGTGCCCCCGGGCCGGAGCCCCCCCCGCAGTCGGCCCTCGGGTCGCTGCTGTCACGCATGTCGGTGGCCCTCTTTGGGCCGGTCCCCGGCGGGACCGACCCGGCTGTGGTGTCCGACGGCGGGGCCTTCCTCGATGACCCGCACTATCAGCACCACCACCACCACCACCACCACCACCAGCATCCGGCTGGGGATTATGAACCGTACACCGGCGAGCACTCGCCACTGGCCGCCAGCCACACCGGCGACTACCTGCCCCCCTTCGCGCACGATGGCCACCATCACCACCACGCGTCGCAGCCCTTCTCCTTCTGAGCAAGGCCGACGGGTGGGGTCCCCCCCCCCCTGGTGGCACGGATGCTCCCCACCATCATCGCCCTCCCCCCCC